GGATATCAATTCACAAATAAATATTTCACAACAATACTATAATCAATTGTAAAAATGACAATTTTTTTAAATAATAAGGCAGTCATTTGCACATGAATTTTACAATGTCTAAATATTCAAAACAGTAGAAAGAAATATCACAATTTTACTAAAAGCAGAAATATCACATTTATTTCTAACAATAAACAAGAAAAATAAATAAATTTATTTTTCTAATTTACAACATTCAAAATTTCTAATATAGATAAAATATCACAATTTTTATTAAAAAGATTATTTTTCAAGATAATGAGGTCACGTGCGCATAAAATTTATCGCGCCTAAAATTCATGATAATAAGCATAAATTATTATTTCATTTCATTTTTAAAAAGAATGGATTATTTTTCGAGACAATGGGGTCACTTACACACAAAACTTATAAAATAAAGATCCTGGACGGAAATATCACTATTTATTAAAAATATACTATTTTTCAGAAAGACGATGTCACTTACCCACAAAATATTTGAGAGGGAGCTTCCGATAAAAAATTCGGTTCGAGAGAGGAGTTCACTGTGTTTCGACCAGAGAGAGAGATCTCAAAATTTTCTAGGGTGGGAGTGCTCACCTCCCCTATTTAAATTCTTATAACGTATTATTATAATATTTTATTACGCTCTACCTCATACCTGAGGTGTCGCGTTAAACGTCTGTTTTTAACATACGAAAACCACGTCCGCTAAAGGACGTTGCCAGCTACAAGCAGCAAGCAAAAGCAAGCATGCAAAAGTTAAATCAAGTAAAACTTTTTGAAAATAGTGATGGTCCCCAAAGACCATCATACTCAAACAGACCATCACCTATTTAAAAGCATCTTTTCTCTTTTTTTTTTTTTTTTGAAATTTTTGGATTGTTACACTAGTTCTTTTGATTGGATTGGTGAGTTTATAGATCTGTGTTATGGCCATATGGATTTATTTATTTCAAATGGTATTGGGAGACCTGCTGAATTCTATCAATGTAATTTAGTTGTATGGTTTTAAGTTTTGAAATTTGTTATAATATGGAGATGCATCTTTGGTACTTGCAGTTGTGCATAATGGCTCTAGACACTCATGTGGAACACATGCCTTTACATTGGGCGTTACGTTTTAAGCTACTTTCTTGCTACTTACTTTTTGTACGACATTTTTACATTTTTGTTTCCATTTAAATTTGGAATTTTGTAGGCCATTATTGCTATTTGTAGGTGCATCATAGATTTGAAAAATGGTGTCGGCAGATGTTTGTTGGATGAGGTTCTCTCCATTATGTTCATCAAAATGTTCAGTCGTACATATACAAGTGGGATTTGTTCAATGGAATATGAAGGTATGGTCCTGGATGTTGGACTAATTGGTTTGGATTTATTTAAGTCTATTGCCTTCTACTTAATATCTGGAGGTGGAAGTGTTATTGTTGAGTATTAAATTCACAGTTCCTGTTATCTTTGTTGTTTGCTTGCAATAGTGATTAAATTTTTATTCTTTTTGGCTAGTAAATGGATATACAATTCTTTGTCTAGAAGGTGGTCGTCCTAATGCTTACTTTATGGATCATTTTTTATCGGTTTACTTGGTTTTGTTTTCCAAAATCCTTTCTCATCTCAAGATTGAATGTGGAAACTTTTCTTATCATTTCTTTTATTTTAGGAGGTGATAGAAAATGGGGGACGGGCAGGGGTGTTATTTTGAGTTTCATGGTAGTGACTTAGATATGTTGGTTTATTTTGAGTGCCATTGTCGTGATCTGGATATGTTTGTTCTTAATTTTTAACTCATTAGAAGTTTTGTGGTTATTGCTTTTATGATTAGGGGATTTACTTCTAGTGGTTCAGTGGTTTGAAATATCCATATGATTTTATTCAGTTTGTTTTAGATTAATGTTATTTTGCTTCTGGAAACATCTCACCCATGCTTGCGGTTGTTTGAAATGGATCATGAGGCTAGTCTTCATCGTAATTCCAAGGGTGGTTCGTTTATATGTTCTCATAATTCTCATAATATTTATATTACATTATTATATAAATATTATATATAATAAAATAAATATTATATATAATATATAGTTAATATAAATACTACATATAATATAATAAAAATAATATAAATATTATATTTAATATAATAATATAAATATTATATAAAATATAATAAATACTTGTATAAATATTATATAAGATATAATAAATATATATTATATAAATATCATAAAAATATATTAATATTATATATTACATATAATATATAATCAATATATACTACCTCAAAAAATTTACTAGAAGAGCTTGTTTTAATGCCCAAATATCTTCAAATTGATCATCTCAACATCAAGAAACATGGACATGAGAAAAAAATGGATTTCAAGTTTTGGAAATAGTGTATTTTGTAACGCATTTTTGGACCGTCAATTTTCAAGATTTTCAAGTTTTCATAGATATGTCGATCTACACAATTTTGAAACTTTAAAATTTATAAATAAATATAAAAATATATTTTAAGGCTATCACAAAGATTTCTAATATTGAAACCAAATTTCTCGACACTATTTGTAAGTGGGCTCTAATTTGATTGTTTAGAGCCTAGGCTCTATACAAACCACACCTTTAATAAAATAAATATAAATATATATTATAATGCAAAATATATCTATTTATGATATTATATATAATATCATAAAAATATATTCTATAACATAAATATATATTAATATTATATATAATATAATAAATGCTAATATAAATATATAATATAATATAATATAATATATCTACTACATATAATATAATATAAGATATTTATATATTATATGTAATATTATAAATACATATTCGATAATATATAAATTTATATTAATATTACATTAATAAAAGATATCTATATATTACATATAATATATAATATAATATAATATAAGTTCCTACCCCATATAGGAACTCAATCTTTCACGTTTTAACAAATGAATGAGAACTTTTGCTGAAAGATTACTTTTTGAACTTTTTGCTGAAACCGTGGGTCGAACGCATAACTTTTGGAAAATTAAATCTTTTAAAAAGCAAACACACCCTTAGAGTACCTAGTATGACATCTCATAATTGCTAGTAAATTTCATGCACCAAAATTATTATTATTATTTTTATGGAGTTACTCTTGCCAGTCTAAGAAGCTCAATTAACATATTCATTTTTTGCTGTAAGTTGTCATATGTTTTATTACATTTTCAAATGATACAACTTCATGTGTAGAGTAGAACAAGATTTAAAGTGAGATTGTACTAGACAAACCTTGCCATTTACCACGTAGTTATTTTATTTGAATTTCACAATCACCTACTCTATAAAATTTTTGGTTCACGATCTTATTGTGAGAATTGTTTTCTTTAGAGTTACTTAATATGACACCTCATAATTGCTAATAAATTTCATGAACCAAAATTTTATTTGTTATTTTGAAAATTTGAACGGATGAAAATTTTGTATTTTGTATTGGAATTGTATACAATAGGACCATTTACTTTTGATATAAGGAGGTCACAATTACTTACAAGCATCCGATGTGAAATCTGATAGCTTGGGTGTGTCATAAATTTCGATAAGAATTCTTTTGACTTTTGAATTTAGTCAATGAAATAAATACAACAACCCAATTTCACATCCAATGGTCAAGATTAATTGTGTCCACCGTGTACCAAAGGTAAAATGGTTTCATTATATACTTTCTTTTTTGTTTATTTCATGCTTGATGTTGTTATCACATATTAAAATCATCTAAATTAATATAATTTTGAAGAAAATGTATATATACTAATGTGTCACCGACAACTAGGGCTCGGAATTTACCGCGCCCCGACCCGAGACCCAATGACTTGATCCGGTCTGGGCTCAAGTATGGGTCAGAGATTTGGACTCGGTGGATAGGGTTCAAGTCCAAATCTTGGACCCAAATAATAAATCGGAAGTGTCCAGGTATTAGTGGAACCGACCCAGTTATTCTAATATGTTATAAATTAGCAAAACAAAAATAAGTCACATTAAAGTTTTTTTTTAACACAACAGTAAAGAAAAACTTGTACGATTGGTTTTAAAAAGTTTGTAATAAATAATAATTAAGAAAAATAAATTTTTTACTTTTCACTCTCTAACATTAAACTATTACCGAATAGATCTCCTTGGTCATTGAATATTCGATCACTATTCCATAATTAATTTTAATTTTTATGTACAAGGCCCTAAATTTTCTCAGTCTTTCTCGCGGTTTCTATCCACGTACTCTCTCACATCTCTCTCTCCCTAAAGATAGGGATTAGGCATCTAGAGTTTTTTTTAGTTTAAAAGTTATATTAATATAAAAATTGTGTCTTTCTCATTTTTACCACATGTGTCCCCTTTAACTCTGACTCCCCCCTATGACTTATTGATTTAGAAGTTATTTTAATTTAGAAATTATGTGTCCTACGTATATTTTAGAATTATTAATTATTATGTGTCTTATGTGCACCCTAGAATTAGGGCATTTTTTATTTTCATGATATGTGTCTACCCTTTTAACTCTGGCTTAATAATGTGGAAGATAAAATTAGAGATTTTTTTATTTTTGTCTGCCCCTTAACTCTGGCTTAATAATGTAGAAGATTGATAAATAAATGGTCCCTTAACTCGGGCTTGATGTAGAAAATAGATAGATAGATGAATAGATAATAATGTAGATATATAGAAGATAAAAGATTTAGATAGATAGATAATAATGTAGATGGAGAGATAAATAAATAGATCCTTTATATACAATCCCAAATAATTTCATTTCCGCTAAAATTTCCCGATAAATAAGGATAAAACAGTAATTGCATCCATATCACCCCGATGGAAGGTGATGGAGAGGATACATTCAGACTAGTACCACGTACCCTGAAATAAATGGCTTTAACTCTGACGCTCAATCAACCGTCCCTTTCTATTTGACCTCTTAATCGCAGCCGTCCATGGCCTCCCCCAGTTATCTATAAATACGGAGTCGTAGAACTCGCATTTTCATTCGTCGGTTTAATTTCGCGGTTGTTTTCATAGTGAGTGATTTTTTTAGTTGATTTCTTTTTTATTTTAATATTAGGATCTTTCTATAATTGGGTGTTTTTGTGTTCTTTTGGTTTCTTGATTTTACTCTTACAAAAAAGATTTCAAAAAAAGATGTATTGATATTATGTTTAAGGGGGGTGATGTTTCTAATTTTTTTGTTTCAGAAATCATACATGTGCATTCAAAGGATCGTAATCCGCACTCCGTAAGATAGGGTTCTTGTGGCTCTATGTATTCATCGCACAATTCTTGTCTTGTTTTCTGTCTTGACTAGTGATGATGGATTTCGTCAAGTTTGACTAGTGATGATGGATTTCGTCAAGTATGGGTTCCTTTATGATATTCTTTTGGGTGATGTTATTTGTGAATTTGTTGATCGAGGTTCTTTTGTTGAAGATCGAAATCTCTCTCTGGTTTTCTCGGTTGATGGACTACCAAGCTGTCATTGTGACCTGATTTTATCGAGTGCCGTTGTGTGCCGGGGAATGAGGTTGGATTATGGTACTCTATTTCTAGGTGATGTTGGCTTTTGTGATGTTGATGCTTAGATTATTGCATTGTTTCTGTTGGTCCATGTAAGTCTGATGCCCAAGCTATTAGATTACTTTTGTTCAGATTGGTGGATCATGTTGTCAAGATTCAAGATTATTTTTTTGAAGATTCCAAGACTCTCTGGTTTATTTGCAATCAACTTGATGATAATCGAAGCTATCTTGAGATAGTGATGGAGTTCTGCAATTTCTTCAAATCTTTTACGTGAACAAAACAAATTGGACGGGATTTATTTCTTTTAACATTTTGACCAGAGTTTCAAGTAATATTATTGGATTTGGTCGTTGTTGTGACCTACAGATATCTCTTCTGCGTGTGCAGATGATTCCATGAGTTGAAGCACTAGGTGTGGCATTGCTTTTGTTGATAGGCAACATGTTGAAGTTCTTATTGCAAACCATGGGTTTACAGATGGTCGTCTGGTTTTGGGAAAGCAATTACCCATACTGATCCCACTCTTGAATTCTTTTAATTTTGGTGGTTCATTAGGTGCAATAATGATAACTATTGCGTTCTTTGGAATGCCTGATTGGGATGTTATTATAGGTAGTCCTCTGGATGATCTCATGAAAGGAAACATTGATCGGTGCTGGCATGCTCGGGTAACAAAAGTTGGTTCTTGCATCCGATATTAACTTGGAAACGAATCCAGTTTGGATCATGGCCTCCATTGGTTTGGATAACCCTCATCAGATTTATTTTTATTTTTATTTGGTATGGTTTGGTTTGTTTTGGGAGGCTTGCTTTCATTAGTATTGGCGTTGAAATTTTGTGCCATTAGGTTCTATGTGATGCTCTTATGGGATTCAATAATGGGGAACAGATGGTATTGTTTGATGCTCCTTGAGATTTCTGGATTTCTTCTGCGCTTTGTGTTGCATTATGTTATCAGTATTTTTTTATTGGATCATTGCGGTGGCTTTTTGACAAGTATGGGGACTAGTTATTTTGACTGGTTTTGTTTTGGATTTGTGCAAGTCCCCATAGATCTGTGCTGTGGCCACAGGGATTTATTTCTAGTGGTTTAGGGAGATCTGCTGAATTCTATTCTAGTAATTTAGCTGTTTTAACGCAGCTATTCATCTTTGGTAATTGAAGTTGTCCAGAATGGCTCATGCAGAATGGCTCGTGTTGGAACATTCACACTTTGATTGGGGGTTATCATGTTTTAAGCAACTTTCTTATTACCCTTCCATAATACTCCATTTTCAATTCTGGTTTTTTTTTTTTTATAACTTTACTCTTATTGATCTCTGGCCATTAATGTTATTTATAGGTGCATCATAGATTTGAGGAATGGTGTTGGCTGGTGGTTGTGGGATGGGGTCTGTTTCTTATTGTTTTCAGTCTCACATATACAGATGTGGAATTTGCTCTCTGGAACATGAAGATAGGGTCTGCATGTTGGACTTATTGGTTTGGGCTTATTTACGTCTATTGTTTTCTACTTGATTTCTGGGCGTTTTGTTGAGTATTAAACTCTCAGTTTCTGTTGTCTTTGTTGTCTCTAGGTACAATGGTGATTGTCTTTCAATTATTTTTGGCCAGTCCATGGATCCACATTTCTCTTCATGGTTTAACAGATTGTGATTCTCTATGGGAGCGAAACTATGCCTGTTTAGTTCCATCTCTGATGCTTCTTTATTTGGTGGCATTTATATAGTAAGGATAGAGACTAAAATGTCTCCGTAACTTCATTTTCTAGCGCATGATTTTTGTTCACGGATTGGAGCATGGGAGGAAGTTTCAGGTTTGCTGCTGCAAAACAATTGGTTTGTCATGTTGCGTCCCGTTGGTCCCATCACCCTGTATTCTTCTAAAACTTGGGAGTATAGTCTTATTTTTCTATTTGATGTTCTGTATCGTATTTTTCTCTTCTATCTTTCGATCTTATTCTTTGGTTCATAGTGACTATTCCTCAGGGTTCTTATATGGTACTAGGTTTAATGTACCTTGTAAGTTTGCTATGTAGTGTATGTTAGTTTGATCATGCCATCTTCTTTTTCTACTTAATGAACTTTCTTGTTCGTGGTGAGTGATTTTGTGCTCCTGTATTTTCATGCTTTGAATTTCTGAGCACGTTCTCAGTGAACTTTCTTAGTTCACTGATTGGTGAAGTTTCTTAGTTTTGGGGTGGATTTGTACCCAACCTAATTTGTTGGGTTTCTTAATCGCTGTGGAGTATTTGTCCTCCCTGATTAGTGATGGTTTCTTGATTTGGTTTCCTGGAATTTTTCCTGTACTGGGTTTTGAGGTGTCAGGGGTTTCTTATATGGTGATTTACAGTTTTTGTTTTATTATTAGTTGTTCTAAAATTTCTGCTCTTGTTTTGATTTATTTATTGTGTATTTTGATTATATATGTGTGCTTCTTAGGGTTTCATATGGTTTTTTTATTCTGGATGTATTTCATGCCTTTTTGTGAATCAGTTCTTGGTTTGTTAATTTTGATTTTGGGGTCTTTTTATAATTCCTTGGATTTGCTTGGGTCACCTGATTTGTTTGTTTTTTTTATTTCACTCAGTTTTGTAAAGATTCTCTTCATCTTATAATTTTAGGCCCTCTTCTGTGGATTTCCCTGGGCTCCTTATTTATCTTGAGTCCTTTTTAGGGTATCTTGAGACCTTACCAGACTCTGCATTCAAGGGATATTAACCTAAGCTCTGCAATATAGTTGATTCTCTGCAAGATAGGCTTCTTGTTGTATTATGTTAATTGAATCTCAAATCCTCCAGTTACCTCCTCTGCTTCCTCTTGGATAATCTGTTTTGTTGATTCCTTGCAGTATGACTAGTTATGGTGGATTTTGTTGACTCCCAAGGGGCGTCACACTCTTCTTCTCCAGGTGATGTTCTGTGAATTTGTCCATGACTGGTTCTTTTGTTCAAATATAAAACTCTGGATCTTTTTTTTTTATATAATATTAAATTATTGATACAGAGCCATTATAACCTGATTTTATCGAGTGCCATTGTATGGAGAGGAATGAGGTTTGATTGCTGAATTCTTTTTCTTGGTGATGTTGGATTTTTGTAATGCTGATGCTTGAGTGATCACATTTGCATGTAGTTATGATGCCTAAGCTATTGGGTTACCTAAGATCAATTCATTGATATTATGTTATTCAAAATTCAATATTATTACTCTGGGATATTTGAGATAGTGAAGGGGGATGTAGTTATGATGCCTAAGCTATTGGGTTACCTAAGAATAATTCATTGATATCATGTTACTCAAAATTCAAGATTATTACTCTTGGATATTTGAGATAGTGACGGGGGAGTTCTGGTGTCCATACTTTTAGGGGAGTGAAGGAAATTGGATGTTGGTTATTTCTTCTAGTGTCCTAATAAGTAAGAGTTCAAGTGGTATTGTTATATTTAGTTGTTGTGATTTAGATATATCTCTTCTGCATATGCAGCTCATTGGAGGAGTTGAACCACTAGATGTTGCATTGCCTCTAATGATAGGCAACATGTTGGAGTACTTGTCTCAAACTGCTAGTCAACAGATGGTTGTGTTTTGGAAAAATAGTTAGCCTATATTGATCTATCTTTTAATTCTTTTAATCCTGGTGGCAGTTATTAGGTGCAATAGTGATTCTCTATTTGCATTTTTTAGGATACCAGATTATAGTATAGTTGATCCTTTTGGATGAGAAGAAGGAAACTGTCGGATGCTGCTGTGCTTCTACAGGTTGGTTGCCATGTTTGATATCAATATGGAATTGAATCTTGTTTGGATTATGGTCTAAATTGGTTTGGATAACTCTCCTTAAATTGTTTTAGTTCGGTATAGTTTTGATGTTTTGGGAAAGACTTGCTTTTAATAGTGGTGGCTGAGTTATTTTTGAAAGTATTGTGCCCTTATGTGCCATGTGATACTTTTCTTGGAAGTTGTAATGGAGGCATATATGGTATCGTTTGATATTCTATTGAGATTTCTGGATTTCTCCTGAAGTTTATGTTGAACCATTTTATCAGTAACATTATTTTAGTGGCCACACTTCTTGACGAATACAAACTACAGGAACTAGGTATTTTGACTGGATTGGTTTCAGACTTGTGCAAGTTGTTGATCTGTGCGTCGGCCATTGGGATTTATTTCTTGTGGTTTAAGGTGACCTGATGAATTCTATCAGTTCAATTCAATTGAATGTTTCTAAGTTTGTTATAACCTGGGGATACATATTTGGTACTTAAAGCTGCACAGAATGGCTCAAGAAAGTTATTTGGGAACACTCGCATTTAGATTTAGGGGTTATCTTGTTTTGGGCAACTTCCTTGTTGCCTTACCCTTCCTGTGTTCTTCAGTTTAAATTCTACATTTTTGGTTTGTTTTTTGGACTTTAGAGATTAGTCGCCGTTCTTGTTATTTATAGGTGCATCAGAGGATTGGCTGAGTTCTTTTTAAAAATAGTGCCCTTAAGTTGCTTGTGATGCTTCTTGGAGGCACATATGGTATTGTTTGATATTCCACTGAGGTTTCTGGATTTCTTCTAAACTTTATGTTGAGTTATTTTATGAGTTACATTATTTTATTGGATCATTTCCACACAGCTTCACAAGGACATCCTTGGCCACTGGGATTTATTCCTAGTGGTTTTTGGTGACCTGATGAATTCTATCAGTTCAATTTCGTTTTATGTATATAAGTTTGTTTGTTATAACCTGGATATGCATCTTTGGTACTTGTAGCTGCGCAGAATTGCTCAAGACGGCTGTGTTGGAGCGCTTGCATTTATATTCGAGGGTTATCCTATTTTGAGCAACTTCCTTTTTACCTCTGATCCTTCCCTTGTTCTTCAGGCAGTAATGCAGGCATATATGGTATTGTCTGATCCAGGGAGGTTTTTGGATTTCTTCTGAGCTTTATGTTGAATTATTTTTTAGTAACATTATTTTATTGAAGCATTGCCGCACATCTCGACGACTGTAGACTACAAGAACTAGCTATTTTGAGTGGATTGGTTCTGGACTTGTGCAAGGTTAAAGAGACGTGCTGAATTCTATCAGTTCAATTTAGTTGTGTGTTTCTAAGTTTGTTTGTTATAACCTGGAGATACTTGTGTGGTATTTGCAGCAGCGCAGAATGGCTCAAGACAGTTGTGTTGGAATACTAGCATTTAGATTGGGGGGTTATCCTATTTTAGACAACTTCCGTATTACTTACCCTTCCCTTGTTCTTCAGTTTACATTCTATATTTTTTTGGTTTGTTTAAATTTGGTCTTTTAGAGATTGGTTGTGCCATTCTTGTTGTTATTTATAGGTGCTTTAAAGTATTGGCTTACTTTAAAAATATTGTGCCCTTAGGTGCCATGTGATGCTTTTCTTGGAGGCAGTAATGAAGGCGTATATGGGCATCATTTGATGTTCCACAGAGGTTTCTGTATTTCATCTTATGTTGAATTATTTTGTCAGTCTCATCCACCTCGCATGCGCGCCATACCCGCCCGAGCGGGGACCGACGTGAAGACCAAGCTCCGACCAAGGAGTTTTAAAAGCAGACAAAAACAAGGAAAGGGAGCTGGATTCAGACTAAGTTGACAGAAAAAGTACAAGAGGCTTTCTCTAGTTATCAAAGAGGGTGATTCAACCAGACGTGTCCCACAAATCAAGGTAGCAACGTAAGCGCCTTGCACTATACTTGCCATATTAAAATTCTCTCACTATTGGTTTCTATCCACGTGTCCAGCGTGCGGTTGTCCAAGAGAGGGTTCTCTATTAAACTCGGGTCCTCGGCCGGAGACCCTGACCGGGGCCCGTGGAAAATCCAGGTCCACCACACCAGTCATATCGGAGGGCATGTTGTCAGCCCCTCACCAACGGGTAGTCGAAATGCCACCTGTCACTCTCACCATCATGATAATAACAGGCCAGCCACAGGCCATTCCCTCAGACCCACCCACAAGGACTTGTAGTTCCCCTGCTGGTCTCATGTTTTGGGGCAACCCAAGGGTCACCCCGACTCACTCACTGGCGTCGGGCCTCTTAGGTCCCAGCCCCACACCTAAGGTTGGCCCAAAGGCTGCCCGACCACCACTGCATGTCATCCACCCATCTCGGTGCAGCCGAAATGCTGTCCAACACTTCCAAACTTCCGACTTCCACACTCCCCACTTGCATCCCCCCCACTTCCTAGCTTCCCACTTCCATACTTCTATACTCTCCACTTCTGTACACCCTACACTATACACTACACCTACCCATACACCACACTACCCATACACCACACCTATCCATGTGCTAGACCTACCAATACACCATACTTACCCATACATCATACTTATCTATATACCATACCTATCCATATACCATACCCATACCTAAGTATACCCCATACCCATCCATACACCATACCCATACTCAACTATACACTATACCCATACCCATCCATACAGCACACCCTACACCATGCTGCATACATGCTCCTTTCAAGGTGCCAGTCTCCCCCAATCTAGGCGTCAATCTCTCTCAAGGTGTCGGTCTCTCTCTAGGTACCGATCTTTCTCTCTTTCTTCTCTTCTCTCTTCTCTCTTTCACTTATTTTTCCTTTATTTTCTCTTCTCTCTCCCTCCCTCTCTCTCTCTTTCTTTATCTTCTCACATTCTCTTCTTTTCTTCTTCTTCTTCTTCTTCTTCTTTTTCATGTGCGTAAGAAGTGCCACCAAATTTAAATCCTCACAAACTCTACCTCATCACTTTCAAAACCTCTGACTTTCTCTTCTTCTTCTTCTACTTCTTCTAAATCTTCAATTATCAAACCCTTAAATCCTCACAAACTCTACCTCATCACTTTCAAAACCTCCGACTTTCAAAACCTCCGAGGACGAACCGACGGACATCGACCCCCCCTTTCAAGCCATCTTACAAATGTGTGATTTAGAAGGCGTAGCGCAGCGCAAGGGAGCCGGAGTCAAACCGAACCGAGAGGTAGGGGAGCTTTCCAAATTGTGATCTAAGTCAGCGCCCGGGCATGTCACGACCCCATCACGTGAGGTAGGTCCTACCTCACTTAGATTTTTCTTTTGTTGGTTCTAGCCGCATACTGCACACTGTCTTCAAGAAAGGGTCCTCGGGTAGGATCCCACACCGAGTCCCCGACCGCGCCGAGAACCAAGGCTGACCACCGGCCCAACATACTTTCTCTTTCTCTTCTCTCCCTCTCTTGCTCTCCTCTTTCCTAGTCTCTTTCCTCTCTCATTTTTCTCTCTTCCTCTGTTCTTCTCCTCTCTCTTGCTGTTTATCTCTCTTTCTCTCTCTAATCTCGGGACAACGACTAGGCTGCTGCCCCACCTCTCTCTCTCTATCGGGATAGCAGCTAGGCTGCTGACCCTTCTCTCCTCTTCTCTCTCCCTCTCTCCCTAGCCAAGATAGCGGCTAGGTCGCTGCCCCTCTCCTCTCTCTCTCTCTCACTCTCTCTAGCTGCTTCCCCCACTCCCTCTCTCTTGTTTTCCCTCTTCCCCTCTCTTCTCTTACTCTCTCTCCCTCTCTCCCTCTCGTTCGCCTCTCTTTTTCAGCTCTTCCTCTCTCATTTTCTCTCTCTTTCCCTCTTACTTCTCTCTTTCCCTCTCTCTCCCTCCTATATCTCACCTCTCTCTCCTTCACTCTACCCCACCCTCTTCATTCATGATCTCTCTTGTCTCACTTAAACCACTCTTATGGGGTTCTTTCGAGGAGTCCTTGATATGGTTTAAAACCTGGCGTCCAATGACCTTGTGAATCGTCTAGGGGTCATCATCTGTTATTTTGGTTGGTGATGGCAGAGGTAGATCGTGGCTGCAGTTGGTTAGTGATGGCGGAGGTAGGTTGTGGCTGCAACAGGAAGTGATGGAGCTGCAAAGTAGAGGTCTGGAAGATGGCGGAGATAAGGCGGCTGGACAGCTGAGGAACAGAGCATAGGGAGAGATGAGAGAGAGAAGCGGCAGAGTGGTAGAAATGGGCGCAGCAGGGTGTGAGTTGAAGTGGTAGCAGGGACTTTTAGACACGGACAGCAGCAGAGTGGTTGGCGGATGGTAGTTGCGCTCAATTGAGGAGCAGAGGATGGCAAGAGGGGTGGTGAGTTGCAGGTGGAGCACAGGGACTGAGAAAGAGGTGGAGGATAGGGGACGGCTGTTTTGTGCCGAGAGAGGCACACGGCGATGGGTTTACATAGATGGAGTTGGGTAGGATAGATCGCACACGGCAATGGGATTAGGAAAGGGGCGAACGACAATGGGGTTAGGAAAGGGGCGCATGGCAATAGGGTTAGGAAAGGGGCGCATGGCAATAGGGATAGGAAAGGGGCGCATGACGCTAGGGTTATGAAAGGGGTGCATGACGATAGGGTGGTGGGAAAGGGGCGCATGGCGATAAGTTGGTGGGAAAGGGGCGCACGACGATAGGTTGGAGGGAAAGGGGTGCACGGCGATAGGTTGGAGGGTCGCACAATGGCTATAAGAAGGGTTTTAAACCATAAAAATTTTATTTTTTAGGGGATTCATTATTGGGATGAAGAGAGGGTTCATTTTTTGGATCATGCAAACGCCGCAAACATGGTTTTCAAAAATTGTGGTTTCATTATATTACAATGACATAGTGACATAAAATCACTCCACTATTGATATAGTGTATTCTAGAATCAAATGAATCAATTACTAGCATTCATGTAGGGTTGGCAATGGGCCAAGCTTAGGGTCCTAAGAGGTCCGGCCTGAATCAAAGACGAAGACCGTTAGTCTTGTGGCCCTTGGCTAAGTTTCATGCCCGGTGGGGACTGTGGTGGGACTAATGGAAATTTATATAAAAAGAAAGCATTAGGAAATAAAAACCCTGGCCGGTCCAACTTCGAACCCCCGGGCCTTTTTTTACCTAGTCGAGCTGGCTGTCTCGTTACCAACCCTACTTTCATGTAAACTATATAACCAGCAAGCACAGAGGTCATTTACGAACCTCCAAGTTAAAAAATTTAAGGGAAATTTATCAAAATACCCCTAAGAGATGAACTATTTAACATTTGTTAACATTTCTTTGAATTTAATTTCAAAATACCTATCAAAATACATATGATAATAACATGGAATAGTTGCAAAAGGGTAAAATGTTTTAAGTGTACGTTTGATAAATTTCTGAAAATTTAACTATTTTGACACAAAGTTGAAACCACCTTATATAGAGAAAAGTTCATTCATGTTGGTTGAAAATCCAAATAGTGGCATTTGTTACTTTTGCGACTCGCTTGTGCTCTAATGGTACTCATAAAGTTAAGGGAACTGCTCCTGCATAGATCTTTTCTCGCTTTTGTTCCATCTTCCATGAACACATACTTCTCTCTCTCTCTCTCTGATTCTTTAATGTGGGACAAAACTCCCCTACTTCTCTCTCCTTAATATGATAAGATCAACTTTTACAGAGACTATGGTTTTGAAAGATGAAAAAAATGTATTTTGAAATAAGTATTTTTCAATGCAAATACTTAGTTGCCAGCATGTCAATACCTGAGGTGCTCAATTGAAGCTTCAAATTTGAACTATTTTGGAATATTATCATCATTTTTTTATTCAATTTTTTACAAAATAAATGTAATATTTTTTCAAATAATAATTATAGGAATGTGTCCAGCTACATCAACTTTTTAATTAAAAATTAAATACCTTTAATATTAGTAAAGATTGATACCTATGTATGTCCCCCCTTAATATTGTGCAACATATTGAAGACATCGGTAGGTATTTCATACCCAAGACGTGCATATGTATGAACCTCAACTTTTTGGTGACATTCCATTCTTTTTAGCTATCTTTTATTATAAAAAGAAAATTTATTTTTTGGTGACATTCCGTTCTTTTTAGCTATCTTTTATTAATAAAAGAAAAAGTATTTGGTGTAACAATGGACGTAGTTTAACAATTGTGTCCCCCATGCATCAAACTTCCATTTGAGTGTTGTTAAAAGAAAAAAGGAGCTCCATTTTAAAAATTTCATGACGATGATGATGACAAACACTAGTTTTCTTCAAGAATGATTTGTTCTTCAGTTTACATTCTGGGTTTTTTGGTTTGTTTATGTTTGGACTTTTAGAGATTAGTCATCATTCTTGTTGTTATTTATAGGTGTATCAGAGTATTGGCTGAGTTCCGTCAAAAAATATTGCGCCCTTAGGTGCCATGTGATGCTTTTCTTGGAGGCGTATATGGTGTCGTTTGATGTTCCACTGAGGTTTATGGATTTCTTCTGAACTTTATGTTGATTTATTATATAGCATCATTATTTTATTGGATCATTGCCACACATCCTGATGAATACATGCTACAGGAACTAGCTATTTTTACTGGATTGGTTTCGGACTTGTTCGAGCTTGTAGATTCATGCTTTGGACTTGCTTTCTTGTTGTCTAGCCTATAGATGCTTTTTGTTAATCATCTGATGATCCTCTTTCGTCTTGGTGATGCAGCTCCGTGGCATAGGGCTACTGGGTGGGCTTTATTTGGTATGCTTTAATTATAGTGAAGTGTTTTGCATCTCTCATAGGTATATACACTAGCTATTGTTATGTTGGGAGTTTAGGCTGCATCATGGTGCTAGCAACCATATTATCAGCTGATTTGTATATCAGTTTTGTTTACGCTCTGATCTACGCCGATATTTGGGATGAGATCTGCTCAAATCTTAGCAAAAATTAAGTTATTTTTTTAAAAAGTAGAGAAAGTGGGGTCGCTTGAATTATGGGCTTAGAAAAATCCCAGATCCATAACAGATCCGGTCTTTTCTGAATCCATTGGAAGCGTCAGCTCCAAATCCGTATTTTGACCTAAAAACGCTTCTAAATTTAATCAAATCTAATAATAATTAATTTTGAAAAAAAAAAAAAATAAAGCAAAAAATTAAAAATTAAATGAAAAAAACAAATTAAATTAAGCAAAGAAAGATATACTTACCTCTAAGGACCCAAAACCTTGAGTTTTGGACTCGGATCAGGCCGCTCTTCTGATTTGCGTCACCTTCTCCTTTTTTTGGATGCCTTCGTTTGCTCAGATTGGTAGATCTAAGATTCTTTGACCTAGATCTAGGGTTCTTAAGGCAGAGGGAAAAGCTGAGAATATTAGGTAAGGACATAGGATTGAAGGAGAATTTCCTTAGTTTTCTAAGGGTTTTGGGATCTTCAGAGTGTTGAATATGGATCTTGGGATTTTTTTTTGATTTTTGGGGATTTTTCCTAATTTTTTAGTAATTTTCTAGGGGGTTTCCTATTTTTGGGTAATTTTAAAAATTTCTAAGGGATTTTTTTCTTTTTTTCTCTTTTTCCTCCTCTTTTGTGGTTAGGGAGAGGGGGTATTTATAAAATGCAATTGGTGATTTTTGTTGATTTTTTTGAAATTTTTTTGAAATGTTTTGAATTTATCTTGAAGTTTTCGCCTTATCTAATTTAAAAAAACGCTTTTACTACATCATAAAATGCGTTGACTATGCCATCAGGTCACGTCTGCGTCATCAAGCCGTGTATGGGCTTTTGGGGCCGCGATACAGCCCGGCCTGTGGCCTGACACTTGGGTCTCACTGGGACTAAATTGTCGTTTGCTATATCTTTTTATCTATAGGTTCGATGCAGGCGATTCTTGGACCGTTGAAAAGATCTTGAGATCTACTTCAAGTTGGGATAGAATTTGGGTAGTTTTGGAGCAATTAAATTAGATCTAGGTTGCATATGGTCTACTAGGGTTTGTCTGGTCCATTAAGACCAGAATCGAGGTTTTAGGAGTTCCCTTAGCCAGAATTTCGAGGGGGTTGCCTACAGCTGCCCCTCTTTGGCATTCACCTGGGGTACCAGGTAAATGGCAAAGAAGTAGACATCTGAGACACAGTTGGAAGGAAAACCTTTTTTGAGAGATCATTCCTTTGAATGACCCCTACCCTTTGGGTAGGCGGTATGCCGATGGATGTTTTTGATTCGTAAGACATTGAACTGGCACTGCTATTTTTGAATTAGTGCGGTTGAGAGGTCTGCAACAATTGGGATTCAAAGTGACAGTCAACAGGAACCGTGTTATCTTTGAGCCGGTGACACTCCTTGTTGTAGTTACTCCAATGCTACCTGTGAAGCTGCTAGAGTAGTCATCTTCGACTTTAAACCTCTTTCTAGGGGTTTGACTCTTCTATCGAATGAGACTTTGATTTAGAATAAATGATGATTTAGAATAAATGATGGGATGATGAATTTTTGGCTAATTAAATTTCTTGTTTGCCTTCGATTCTGATTCTTGAGGTCCATAGATCCAGGCTTTTTGGTATGGGAACCTATAGGTTGGTTTTTTTTTCTAAAGGTTTGCAAGCATGGCAGTCTAGGATTTAGTGACGGCGGACCCAAAAAACCTCGATTCTAAACCTAAAGGATCTCCTAAAAACCTCGATTATGAACCTAAAGGACCACACAAACTTTTGTAGATCTTAGACAACCTAGACTCAATTTAATTACTCCAAAACTACTCAAATCCTATCCCAACTTGAAGTAGATCCCGAGATCTTTCTAACGGTCCAAAAATCCCCTGAATTGGACCTACAGATAAAAAGATATAACAAATGACAATTTAGTCTATGTGAGACCCAAGTATCGGGCTGTTGGCTGAGCTGTAATGCTGCTTGATGACGCAAACGTGATCTGATAACGCAGTCAACGCATTTTAGGATGCAGTAAAGGCGTTTCCTAGAATTAGATTAGCTTAAAACTTCAAGATAAATCCAAACAATTCCGAAAAAATTCCAAAAAATAAAAAAAAATCACCAATTGAATCTTATGAATACCTTTTCTCCCTAATCCCAAAGGAGGACAAAAAGAAGACAAAAAAAGAAAAAAATCCCTTAGAAATTCTCGAAATTAGAAAATGGCTAAAAAATATCAAAAAATAGGAAAAACCCTTGAAAAATTCTTAAAAAAATTAGGAAAAATCCCAAAAAATTTAGAGAAATCCCATAATTCATTTCAACTACTGGAGGTTCCAAAACCCTTAGAAAACTGAGGAAATTCTCTTCCAATCTTAAGAAATGCTTAGGTACTTAAAATCCCCAGCTTTTTTTTTGCTTTGGGAACCCTAGATCTAGGTCAAAGAACCTTAGATCTACCAATTCGAGCAAGCAAAGGCTTGCAAAAAAAAGGAGATGGTGGCGCAAATCGAAAGAGCGGCCTTATCCAAGCCCGAAACTCCGGGTTTCGGGTCCCTTGAGGTAAGTATCACGTTTTTTTGATTAATTTAGTTTGTTTTTCTTTATTTAATTCTTTGTTTTATTTTATTTTTTCTAAAAATTAAATTATTAGATTTAATTAAATTTAGAAGCGTTTTTAGGTCAAAATAGGGATTTGGAGCTGGTGATGCCAGTGGATTAATAAAAAGACCGGATCCGTATAGATCATGATTTTTTTTGAGCCCATAATTCAAGCGACCCCACTCTCTTAACCTTTTCAAAAGTAACTCGGTTTTTGCTAAGTTTGAGCAGATCTCATCCTAGAGATCTGTGCAGATTGGAACATAAATAGTTTAGCACCCACCGTGAGGCACCTTGAGCTTCAGATCCGTATTTTAGATTTAAAAAAACTTATTCTTTTTTTATCATATTTATTTTTCCAGAAAAAATAAAAAAGAATAAACAAAGAAGAAAAATGAGGTAGATTTAAAAAGATTTATTTTTATTAGATTCTATCTTTTCTTTCTAGATCTTATTTTTCTTCTTTCCATAGAAAATTTTAAATCTTTTTCTTCTCAATCTTTATATCATCTTTATTTTATTTTATTTTAGATCGTCTTTCTTTTTAGATCCTATCTTGATCTTCTTTATCTTTAGTATCTTTTTTAGATCGTCTTTATTTTTTTTCAGATCATCTTTCTTTTAGATCCCATCTTGATCATCACTATCTTTAGATTCATCTTTTAGATCATCTTTATTTTTTTAGATCATCTTTCTTTTAGATCTATCTTGATAATCTTTATCATTAGATCTTTTTTTTTATGTTCACCTTTTTTATCATATTTTTAGATAATCTTTTAGATCATCTTCATTATCTTTGTGTTTTTTTAGAAAATCTTTAGATTCATCTTGATATCATCTATATCATCTTTTTCATATCTTCCTCATTCATACATCATCTTTAGATCATCTGTTATCTTTTTTAGATCACACTTATCATCTTTAAGTGCATCTTCATCTTTTTAGAATGCATTTTTTAGAAATAATCTTTATCTCTTTCCTAATAAAAAAAAAGATTTTTTTGCCTCTTTTGATGAAGTACATTTTTTAAAAAAAAAATAGAAGAATTTTTTCTCTTTTGATAAAATACTTTATTTTATTTTTTTTTAAAAAAAAGAGAAAAGAAAAAAGAAGATAGCTCTAGGCTTTCTTTTCTTTATTTGTTTAGATTAGAAATAGATCTCGTCTTTTTTAATCTTATCTTTGCTTTTAAGTCTTATCTGCATAACTTAGAATTTTCTTGACTTTATCTTCTTTAGAAGCATCATTTATTCTCTACTAAAAAAAAAAAAAATCTTTTTCTTTTAAAAGTATCTTTATCTTGTTTGTTAGATAGAAAAAAAAAAAAGGATAATTTTTTTTTTTTAATGAGATTTTTGTGCACAGTCTTGTAGTTTTGTCCATAGTTCATGATGACTCAGTTATTTAGTTTACTACATAGTTCAGACTCCTTTAAATGACTATACCTACAAGACCTTATGGCTCAGTTCCCTAGGTCTGCCCTGTCTTAAGTCAGTCGATACCGAGTTTTAGTGAGTCCATAATCCCACACTCAGGGCTAAGCTTAGCTAATCCATCTGTGGTCCAGCAAAACTGTGGAGTGCAGCAAGTTTCTATGGCTTGAGCTACTCAGAACAGTTGGAGCATTCGACCCGAAGCTAAAGAATCAGGGTTGAACCAACCTTCATCTTCTAAGTCTTATGTCTAGGGAATGTATTGCCCAATCAGGAGCGCACCTCCAACAAATGTCCAAATCTAACTCAAGCAAGGCTAGCCACCAAGGAAAACTAGAGAGTAAGACATCTTTGCCTAAACCCAAGAGTTCATCAAGCTATGTCTCTATTCCTCAAAGTTCATATTTGTTTAATTCTATTGACTACGAGTCCCTTCCAATCGAGTGTCTTAAGAACTTACCTACGGTCAAAGCTTTCTTGAGGCGTGCTGCCCTTGTTGAGTCACACGTCCTGCCTAGTGTATAGAGTCGTCAGTCAGGTCAGAGTCAAGGGACCTCTCTAGCCCCTGAACAACAAAGTCATGTGAGTTCCACCGTGTCGACGAGTTGGCATCGCCAATCGTCTCCACTATTCAAATAATCAGCTCGACCACGGGGCCGTCCATCCTATAGTCAGTCGTGACGTGACCCTCCCCAGGTCATGTATAGTCATCCACCTGTGCAACCTCTTCAGACTGCCCCAGTCCCACACCATAAGTTGCAGTTGGCCTATTCAACTCACGTTCCAACTCAGTATTCAT